GGGTATACAAGGCATCTTGGAAGGAAGTTGTATCACCAATGATTAGCGCTGTCACTGTTACTAATTATGTGTTAAATAATAACTGCTATAGGTTCCAAACCAAGAAATGGTAAACGAAATTAGATTATAGGTGCCTTAAATTCAAAGCCCACAAATCAAACCTCTCTTTTTGGCCACTTACAAAGGGAGAAGTTAAACCAGTCACCTAGCAATAGCTGTCTTCAAAACTTACTGTGATTGTCCCCTTCAGAAATGAGCAATACATATTTCCCAGAAAGAATTTCTCTGACAAATACTATAGAAAAAATTTAGATATTGCAGAGTTTGACTCAGACTTTGGTTCAAATTTCAGTCTTGCTATATATTAGCTTAATTTCTATGAACATGAGTTTCTTCATCCGTGAAATGGGGGCAAAACTATAATTTACATTATCATGAGGATTAAATGGCATAATGCATATGTGGCTCTTAGCAAAGGGCCTGGCACATAGGAAATTGTCAGTCATCCTACTGCTGTTGCTGCTGCTTCTACTTACTCTATTGGGGCTAGAAATCTAAGCGTGGCTCGTGAATAACAAGTAGTTAATATTTGAAAAGGAACCTCTGGGAGAGCGCAAATATAAAATTGAAAAGTGACTTTGACTCAGAAATAATCAAAACAGTTATTAATCAAAAGGACTATAATCGTCGTGGACACTAGCTTATAGTGATCTTCATGGCCCAAATCTGTTTCAAGGCTGTAAATTTTCACAGCTACATCCATTCTTTTGAGACCGTCACTGTGTATTTCATTAGTGTTATTTATCGTTTTGTAGTTGGGCGTAAGAACTGCAACAACAACACTGTCTTCCTAAGTTTCAACATGGATGTGCATCTATGCTTCAGATCAAAGCACATCTCTGTTATGGAGCATTCATTTCCATAGTGCTCTAAAAGGTCCTTCAAACATCAATTTTGTACTCTAGCTTATGGATATTTTGCAATGTGTATGGAATTTTCTATATTTACCTGAGAGCTGGAGTTGAGGACAGTATACTTTAATTAAAAGAGATTGTGTTTTAAACACTCCTCCTAGGTTAAAAATCCAACTCTACCTTGAACAATTCACTTAACCTTCTGACGCTCAGTGTCTTCCCATGTAAAATGGAAATACAATGCTTTTCTCATAGGATTTTTGTTAGATCATCTGCTCATTCATACACTCCTCCCTGATCTCTAAAATTTACAGTACCCCCAGGGTGCATTCCCTTTTCTTATCTCTATTTACTCCCAAAATTATCACACTCATTTCCATGGTTTATGAAACCAGCTATGTGTTGGTAACTACCAATTTTATATCTCTAACTTTCTCTCTCCTCTCGGTTCCAGAATCATTGATCTACTGCCTACCCAACAAGGCCACTTGGACATTTCAAATTAACATGGCCACAGCAGCATTTCTGATCCACCACTTCCTCACACTTCTGGCAACCAATTCTTCCTTCGGACTTCATTTAAATAAATGGAACATTTTCTCCATTTCCTACATTTAATCCAAAATATATTTCAAACCTATTGCATATTCTTCATCTTCACTGCTACCAATCTGAGTTAAGCTAAAATCCATTCTACTCTCACTCTCCTCTATTCCTCTGAAAACCTTCATCTGCTAATTGATTTCCCAGTATATTTGTCTTTTATTGCTTGGTTACAAATTACTATGAATTTAGTGTCTTAAAACAGCACAAATTTATTATCTCACAATTTTATCATCTGTGGGTCAGGTCAGGAGTCTAGGCACAGTTTAGCGAGATTCTTTGCTCAAGATCTCACCAGCCTGAAATCAGAGTGTCAGCTGAGTCTGTAATCACCACAGAAATTCAGGGTCCTATTCCAAGTTCCTTCTGGTTGTTGACAGAAGAATTCAGTTCCCTGTGGTTAAATTACTGAAGAGCATTTTTTTTCTTTTTTTTTTTGCTGACTGTTGGCATGTGGTCACTCTCAGCAACTAGTGGCTACCCCAGGATCCTTGCCACATGGCCCCTTCTCTTAACGACATGGAAATTTGCTTCTTTAAGCCAGCAGGAAAATGTCTTTTAAGGGCTCACCTGATTAAGCCAGGCCCACCCAAGATAACTTCTTTTGATTAATTCGGAGTCAACCGATGGGAACTTTGATTACCTCTGCAAAGTCCTTTCACTTTTGTCATAAAAGGACCAAACCACGGCAACGAAATTTCATCAAAGTCATAATTTCTATTTACACAGAAGTGGGGAGGATTATACAAAGCATGTAGACCAGGGGCAGGAATCTTAGGGGTCATCTTGGAACTCTGCCTAGCAGGCCTTGGCTTCTACTCTTGTTGCCTTCGATCTTGAGAATCCACCTAGCCAACATGTTTTATGTAAATAACAACTTTAAATTAGACTTTAAATTAGATCATGTCACTAATTTACTTACTTTATTCCTACTACTCCTAACTCCATTTGTACTAAACTTCAAATTCCTTCTGATGGCCTATAATGTTATGTATCTGCCCCCTATTGACTACTTCTTAGGTTTTAATTCATGTTGCTGGCCTTCTGTGTGATCCTCCATCATTCCAAATTTATTCCTGCCTCAGGACCTTTGTACTTACTATTCTTTCAGTCTGGAATGCTATTTCCCAGTTATTTAAGTGACTGGCTCCTTCTTGCCCTTTAGCTCTCATCTCACATATCACCTTCCTTGACCACACTATGTAAAGTATCTTCCTCCCCCAGTAATTTTTGAATTATATAATTTTGTTTTATTTTCTGATCCATTATATGCTTACCTGTTTATTGCCTGTGTTCCTCATTTAAATATAAACTCTACGAGAGCCTGGACGATGTCCATCTAATTCACTACTATATCCCCAATAGCTAGAAGAGTACCTGGCACATGGTAGACACCCAAAGCATAGTGTTAGGTGGGAAAGAAAAAGGGATCTTATCAGAACTAAATGTATATGCATAGCTCATGGAAGAAATCTATATTTGCTTTAGACAGATACTTGCAGCCACTTCACTTTTAGAGTATAAGGGAGTAGGAAACAAAACACGACAGTGAAACATCTTTTAGAGTATGACATTCATTCCATTTTCATCCAAACTTTTCACTCTAGGTAGAAGTAGAAGGCCACAGTCCTGTGTGGTGATTACTTCCTTACTACTGAAGAATAAAACAAAAACAAAACAGAGTTTAGCTTTTTCAGGCTTTCATTTTTCTAAATGAACTATCCCTCTAGGCAAAAATTCTGAAAATCTCCTTTTCAGCTGCATAAATCTTACAGGATTCTCTGCAGCGGGTGGGGCGAACAATGAATGCAATCTGACTTCAAGATATGAGCCACAGATGGTGAAAAATGAAATTAGGCTTGGGACATTGTTTTGAACCTAATCTAAATAACATTTCTAAATGTCTTTAGGCTGAACAGAATAGCATAGACCATCAACCTGTAATCCAAGTTCAATAAATTGATGGGAAATAAGCTTACACCTTTCCCCTCTTATTTTCAAACTGAAAACAATATTTTTAAGCAAGCAATTAATTCTCAATAGAGCCTCATGGACATGATAAAGCAACTTCTCATTCATCAATTCTATGTATTCTCTAGCATTTCTTATTTATCATTTGTCATTTTCTAATGCATAAATATGTAAGCTAATCTTTGGCTCTCTTCAAGGTAAATAAAAATCATACTCAAGTGACAAATTTAACTCTAGGACTTAGGGCAATAAGCAAATTTTAAGCTCAAAGAAATTGTAGAAAATATTAGAAACCTAGAGTTTTGAAAACTTGGTTTTTTTTTCCAAGTCTGTATTATTTAGGATACATCCTAAAATAGAAGAAGGAATGCTCTAAAATACATAAATTTAGTTTATGTTGATACATTTAGCATGAAACATTTATTTACATGATCTTTTTTCCAATGACAAAATACAGATGTGATTTAAATAGAACAAGAATTGCAAAATCTATCATTTTTATAAAGTTCTCTATGTTTTATGACTTCAAAAATAACAAAAATATGTTAATTGTATTTTTATTACTTCTGTATATATTCTGTACTTTCCAGATTTCCAATTCTGTATTTGTATTACTGCCTCAAGAAAAAAACTTAAAGGACTGTTTTTCAAATTTCCTGGGGTTTTTTTTCCCCATAGTTATAAAATAGACAACTATATGAAAATTTATTTGGAATTCGGACTACACTTTGAAACAATGAACGTGAGGTTACCAAAGAAACTGTGCTTGTACCTGATTTGTTGTTGTTGTTGTTGCTATTGTTTTCTTATAATGTGAGGTAAGAAGCTGAAAATAACTAGGAGAGATAAAGAAAACACTGATGTTTTCTATAGAACTTTTAATTAATTCTATCTGGTCCAGATTTATTCCATTTGACTGAGCCCCACAGCACTAATTCCAGGAAGAAAGGACTAGCATATGTCTCGTATGATTATTACAATTGTTCTGAGGCAGAAGAAACAGAAAAACTGCTATGAGGGACAATATGGGCCAGATCAGAGTCCCTTTCTAGGCACCTGGGGTGCCCACTATCAATGCGAAATGGTAACATTCAATTCTATTAAATTAATTTTCACTTGTTCCCAAGTCTGCTTATTTGTTTTTCCTCATTCATATACCGATGAGTTCAATGCTAATACCAAGACACATGGCCCCGTGCATACCCATTTCTTGTGCATTTAATGAGTATCAGGTACTGTGCTAGGTTCTTTCATAAGCATGCCCTTACAGTTTGAATAAAGGAAGCAAAAATCATAACATAGCCACTCTTGTTTTGTGGGAAGTAGCAATAATTATGCAGTTACAGAATCAAGAGATAGAAGGAACACTAACTTCTCTTCTTATTGGTGAATACCCACTGCATCTTCCTTTGGCTGCTAGCACAGGAAACTGTACCCACTGCTTCCCACTGACTGTCGGGAAGGTTTCCACTTGTACTCCTTCTGTGAACAATTTTCCATATTTTCCCACAGGCGCTACCCTGAATGTCATTGCATCAACTTTGGATCGTGGTTTATGCTGTCCTTCCCAGCTGCTGTTGTTATTTTGCTCTTGTCCTGGATCTGGCTTCAGTGGCTTTTCCTGGGATTCAAGTAAGTAAATAGTCCATGTTAATCAGATAAATAAAGGTGTCTAGGTTTTGAGTTAGCTACTCACACTTACTCTTTCGCCTATTCCATGAAGCTACTTTTCTCTTCCACACAAAACTGACACATCTAAGCAGATATTTCAAGGATGCTGTAGAATATCATCAACAGTGTTGCCGTGGAAGAGCATTTGTGGAAAGCGAATCCATCTTGATCTCCTCTGAGTCCTAAACCAATAAGATATTCATAGGCCAGAGGCTCATAATGATGAGGACCCAGTTAACCTTGTTAAAGTGAAATTTGAGGACGTTTTGCCCTCTTCTTGGTTTAATGTGGGGATTTCCTCAGGTTGTTACTTGAAATTGTAACATGCAGGGCTCCCAGCTTTGTCCTAACACCAAAATTGATATGTCCTTGAAAAGATAAAGATCTGAGTGTGTGCTTTGTGGAAAGAATATTGGATCAGGAATCAGACCAGAGACAAAGTTGTGGCTTCTCACAAGCCAAATAAATGAGTGATCTTTGCAACTCCTGATCCATTCTCAGTCTCAGCGTCTTCAACTGTAAAATGATAGAATTTAACTGGAAGATCAGTAAGATCACTTCGAACGCTGTAGTTCTAACAAAGCCCAAGTTTAACACAAAGGTCAAGGTAAGACACACTGATGAATAAAGAGCCGCTAATTCAAAGAGAATTTGCAAATATTACCTTGGCTGGGACTGAAGTTGGTGACTGATAAGTACCAATGAGACTTATCAGTACATGACTTAAATGACAGCCAATATTTAAAATTATGAAGAGCTCCACAGAAAAATAGAAAATGCAGCATGATATATTCAACACATATCACCATATTTCAGAAAAGGAAAGGGAAAAGGCTATATATTATCAAAACTTGAGGATTTTTTCCTGAAAAACAAAACAATTTCAAGTCATTCTTATAGGGTTTCATTTAAATAATTTTAAGTACCAGTGAAGAAAGCAGCATGTTATCCACCAAGCAGATGATACTGACATTGGCTATTTGTACTTCTTTTGACAAGCAAAATACCACAATCAGGTACTGCTCCCTGCCTGTGCCCAAATGTTCCAAGCCTAGTCATATAAAGACTGATATTCTTTCCGTTCCTCTGCCTGCTTTTTCTCTAGAACTGCGCAATTTTTTAGTTGTGGGAGATGGTACTGATGGGGTTTTTTTAAAATCTATTTGTCCAGATTGTGGGAGCAGCATGTGGCAGTGCT